TTGTTAGTAGCCTTGTGGGTGCTGGGAAGCAAAGCCAGTTCCTCTGGAAGAACAGGCAGTGCTCCTAACCATGGAGCCATCTCTCCAGGCCCCTAATTAATTAATTAATTAATAAAGCAACAAGTACTTTTTAAAAAAAAGATTTATTTTATTTATATGAGTACACTGTAGCTGTCAGACACACCAGAAGAGGACATCGGATCCCATTACAGACAGTTGTGAGCCACCTTGTGATTGCTGGGAATTGAACTCAGGACCTCTGGAAGAGCAGTCCATGCCCTTAACCACTGAGCCATCTCTCCATCCCCGGACAGACAATTCTTAAAGGATGAAACACAAGTGTCCAATAAACATGGAGATGTCCAGTTCTACCAGCCAGCCATCAGAGGAAAGTGAATCAAAGGTACACCAAGATCCAATCTCGGCCCAGTCAAGGCGGCAGCCAAAGCAAATGACAACAGATGTTAAGGCAGATGTGGACAAAGGGAATCCTTCTGTATCACTGAGAGAAGGCTAACTAGGCCAGCCACTGAGGACAAAATGAAGGCTTCTCAAAACTAAAAATGGATCTTCCGAATGACCCAGCTAACACTCCTGGGTATCTGGCCAAAGTTTCTCTAAGTCAGCATGTCAGAGGCACTTGCATGTCACTGTCCACGATAACTCCATCATGGAACTCACCCAACAACAGAGGACGACTAAGGAGCTGTGGTGTGTGCACAGGGGGATTTTTTCCCCCCAGTCATCATGAGGAAGGAAGTTATGCCATTGGCAGGAAAATGGATTCACAGATAATCACATTGTGAATGAAGACAGGCTCAGAAAGAAGAGTGTTTTCTTTCATTTGTGGCTCCTCAATTTTAGAAAGACTTATGAAATCATTTACACACACACACATATACACACACATACACACATACACACACACATACACACACACACATACACACATACACACACATACACACACATACACACACATACACATATACACACATACACACACATACACACATACACATACACACACACATATACACACACACATATACACATACACACACATACACACACATACACACACACATACACACACACACACACACTGCCTAAGTGAACAGAGGGGAGAAAAGGAAGAGGGAGGGGAAGAAAGGAAGGGTCAGGAGGGAAAGGGGGACTATGTTCCTCTTGATACATACTTGTGTAAAAACTTCACCAGAGGTTTAAAAGATCCTGTCCCCAAAAAGCAAGAAGGACAAACTTGAAGGTCATAGTGAAATAACGGTGTAGGGTTTGACGTTGAGGAAGACGCCACAACTCAAGCTGGCAACATTCCTTTCCCACACTGAAAGGCACCTCAAGTTGCTGGAACAACTATGATGCTGTAATTGATATGTCATATCTTCTAGAGAACTCAGCCTAGACCAAAAACCGAAACTGATTTGGACACTGACCAATGGGAGCTGACCAAGACGTGGCTTGGGGTACCTCCTACTAGGTTAAGCTGGTAATTTGCAAACACATGTGACCACTCAGTCCAGGTTTGATCCTGTCTGACTTTATGAATGGAAAGACTGAGAAGGCGCCTTGGTCATTCTGCTGCAACCTGCCTGCATCTTAAGGCAAGCTCACCAGAAGCCCAAGTATTGCAACAACAGGCTATTCTGGGAAACTAGGTGCTTTCAAAACATCTGATGGCCTGAAGCTGACACAGTGAGTGAAGAACCATGCAGGGGAGACCTTGGAGTTTTCTTGTATTTATTTTGCCCAGGCTGGCCTTGAACTTGCTATATACTAGAGGATGACCTTCCTTTAGATTGCCTTGCCTCTACTTCCCAAGTGCTGGGATTACAGGCACATTACCAGCCACACCCATCTTGTAGTGAAGCTCTTAATGCTCTTGATGTGCCAAGAACATTTCTTCTGCCTTTCTCAGCCTCATACTGCTCCTCCCGTTAACCTGGTACTTAGTCCGGTGTGGTCTCAGAATCACGGCACATGCCCATAATCACAAAGATGATGACACTTTGGACTCAGTCTCCTTTCCTGGCCTTAGTGCATTTGCTTGCTCCATTTCTACAGTGTGTAACACGTCTAAGACGGCCAGTCTCCTGTGTCCACTGCTTGTGCCAACAGTTTCTGCGCCAACCTTCAGCTGTGAAGTTTGTTGAGTTTGGTAGTATTTCAACACTGGGCACTCAGTACCATGACCATAAAGATGGCTGAACACAGAGCATATACAGAACATCAAGACCTTGAAGTTTTGCAATTGTATTGTTTCAGTCTGTCTGAGAGATTGGGAGGGAGAAATGGCTTGGCAAGGAAGGACATCTGTGGCACAAGCCTGATGGCCTAAATTAGATTCTCAAAACCCATAGTGGAAGAACATGAACACATACACCAACAAAACTAAAACCAAACCAAAAATAAGGGGCTGGAGAGATGGCTCAGCTGTCGAGCACTGATGCTCCCAGCACCAATGGCTGGTGGCTCATAAATGCCCACATTCCAGGAGAAGCAACGCCTTCTGGCCTCCACTGGTAAATACATACTCTATGTATGTATACATTCTACAGGGGTAGTTCTAACTCTGCAGGTCTGTCTGATGATGGCCTGTGTCCTCACGTACCCTGTTACAGAGGACTGGGTTCAGATATGCTGTCATAGAGATCTGGGCTGGCTTCTGCAAGGCACTTGCCTGCTCTGAGATGGCTTTGTTCTCTCCCAGTGTTTTGGGTAGTGTTAACCTGTTCCTGTTTGAGGTACAGCTTGTACACAGGAACTGTCCTGCCCTTCCTGTAACATCCCAAGCCAGCGCAAGAGCATGGAGATTTCTGCATACTTCTTTTTATGGCGTTAGAGGGGTCATACTTACTTTCTGGGACTCAGAACCAAAACAATGTAATCTTACTCTTTCCTCTATTTTCTCTTTTGGGTCTTGATCAAAGTTCTTACTCTATGGGGCACAGTGTTAGCTCTGCTCAGAAACTGTCATCTGATACCAAGTGACAACCCTGTTGGCTCTGACACTGTGCTAATCGTTCTGTGTTTCTCTCTGAAATTCTCTTGCTTTTTTGCTAGCTCCACCATGTAGAGATTCTGCTCACAATTGAACTGCAAGGGCCTCGGGAAGGCTTCCTTAGCCTGCTTTCACAGGTCTCCCTGAGAGCAAATGCCTCCCCCTGAACTGTTCATACCATAGTGCTCAGAGACCAACTCCACTTGCTCACGCGCTGGCCCGAGACTGGGGCTGCAGCCCTTGAGCACCCACGGGGTGCACAGCCCAAGCACACAAATGCCGACCTTCACTACCTATCAAGTCAGGGCTAGAGCTGAGACCAGACTCTCCCATGTTGCTTATCTAAAGAATACCAAGATGCAAGGCAAAAACAATTTCCTTGACTCAATCTAAAGAAAGGGATCTATACTCAGCAGAATAGTAAAGAGCCTGTCGGAACGCAGCTCCGATTTCTAGACTATGTGCTAAGCTGTGAAGCAGGCCGCGCTGTGAACTGCATCACCCACAGCCATGGCTTAAGACTCACTGTTCAAGTGCAGGAAGGCTCACAGCAATCTCCAAAGACAAAAACTACCTTTATGTCACTGTTATATTTTTAAAAATTTATTTTAGAAATCACATCTTTAAAAAACAACAGAGAAGGCGTAGGTTATCCTGACTATATATAAATTCTTCATTCAAATGCCAGGGTGTTGTGGTACAAATTAGAGAGATGCTCTGTGAAGAGAATGAGTTTGTGTGATATTCTTGACATGTACACCAGCTCAATGTGGTTAATGTGGCTTTTAAAAGGAGAGAGGAAGGTACAGGGGGAGGAGGAAACTGTTTTGGAAACTGAAAAAAAAGAGTATCTCCATTCTGTACCTGTCAGCCCTGAAAGTACCGGCACCAAGGCCAGCCCAGAGACTGCACTAAATCTCTGGCATGACTTTAATTCCCGAGTGACCTGGCACCTTGTGCTGGGAGTGTGGGTGGAAACAGAGGTGGCAAGTCTGCTCTGTAGTGTCACAGCCAGAAAGCAACAAGGACGCCAAAGGAAGTGCAAAGCTTGCCTAGACACAACAGGTTGTCCTTGTCCTTCTTAGAACCTATAGCACCCCCAGGTGGCCAGGGTCAAATACTGGAAAGTCAGAATACAAAATAAAAGTGTTAGTTAACACATCCTGCGGACAGAAACACAGCTCTTTAGGACTACAAGCACAAAGGCAGTGATGCCCAGTGGTGAGGTTGGAACAGACTTTTCTTGCCAATGTTCTCACAACTCAGGAATGACTTACTGAGGCCTGGGAATTACTGCTTAACTGGTGACCTCACACTGTTTTCAGGTACTTCTGCCCAGATCCTGAGGGATTCTTCAGGAGAAACAGAAAGCAGACTGTTAGAAAGAGGGTCACACGGGGCTGGGTCGCCTACATGTGACATAACACAGAGAGAAGACTGCCAGCTTCCCAAACACTTCAGGAGAGAAAAATGCATCAGATGGAGTGCTGCAGCAACCTTCCAGGAGTGTGGGGCCCCAGGTACCTTCGGCTGGGGACCCACCCAGCTCGGGACAGCAGGCTCTTGTGGGGTGAACTGAATATATCAGATCATTACCTCCTTTTTGAGACAAGGTTTCACTATATAGCTCTGGCTGCCCTGGAACTATTTAGACCAGGCTAGGATCGCACAGAGATCCACCTACCTCTGGCTCCCAAGAGCTGGGAATAAGGTGTGGGCTATGGCATCCCTTTGGTTGTTTTTTGTTTTTGTTTGTTTTTTTGTTTTTGTTTTTCTGAGAATGGGGCTCATTTAGCCTAGGCTAGCCTCAAACTTGCTATTTACCTAAGACCTTAGGCTCCTGATGCTCCTGCTCTACTGGGCTTGCAGGCTAGTCACTGTTCCTAACAGCAAGCACTGCTGGTACCGAGAGGTGCTGGAGAGATGGAAGACGAGGAGGCTAGAAACCCTTCACTTGATTGACGTGAAGAAGGAGGAACAGTGAGGTTGGATCTGAGCTTTATTGCCAGGACGATGTCACCTCAGGATGGGACTGGGATCCCTGCAAGGTGGTTCCAAAAGGAACCCAGGTCCTCAGAGATGTTGCCCTCCTCATGTGCCAAAATGCATCTGGAAAGAAAATACAGAGAGGGCGGGCGGGACAGCGAAGGAGGTGACAAGTGTGACCCTGAGGCCCAGGAAGTACTTCCTTATTCTGTCCCTCCTCCCAGAACGAGAGTTGAAGGCCGTGCCAAGTCCTGCACTCCCCAGGCTGCTGGAGACCACACTGAAATCACTGCATCAGGACAACTGCACAGGTCTGCTTCCAACTTTTCTCACCATGATTCTACATCAAGGTAAAAAAAGAACTTCCACACACAAATCCAAGGCAGGAGCCAGGCGGCTACACACCCGCCACAGATGGTGCAAGTTGCTCACTTCTGCAGCCGGGGGCAGAACACAGGGAGGAGGGCAGAGTCCTGAGACAAGAACCCGAGGAGTGGGGCCAGCTCAGTCAGTGGTGGACCTCCGGTACCAGAACCGAGCTCGGAAGTCATCGCTGCACGTCATGAAGCCAGGGTTGGTGGGGGAGTGAACTATGCAGCGCACAATGTTGTTGTGGCCCAGGGACAGCAGGTTCCTGCGCTCAGCTGTCCTAGAGTCCCAGCAGCACAGGCTGATGGTCCTTTCATCCGGCAGCAAAATATAGTCCTCGGTGTGGTTGAACACAGCCTGTGTCCGGTGCACTTGCCGTCCACTCAGACCTGCGCCTGCCACACAAATTAACATGTTAGCTTGTGGATGAAGAGGTAGCCTTAGACCCCCACAGTACTCTAGTGCTGTGCCAACACTGTCTCCTCTAGGCCCAGCACCCAAGGCCTGTTTGTTCACTCTGGTGTACTTGCAGGCAGACAGGGACTTGTGACACACCACCTCTCTCCCACAGTGGTCGAATCCAGTGCTTGGCCCTGTCTGCCATCACTGATTTTCTTGCTGGTATAAAGCTTGTAGCCACTGAAGACTGTTGTGTAAAATCCTTTGTACAGACCTTTATCTCCCCAGGATAAACTCCTAACATTCAGACTTACTGGGATACACCATATGAACAGCCACCTTTCAAAGGAAGCTTTTCATCTCATGACTATGAATAGACGTTTCCTGTTTGCATCAAGAGTGCACAGAGCAGTGAAGGGCATTTCATGACGAATGAGGCTGTATTTGACGGACGGCCTCCCAAACACCCATACACTGCACGGCCATTTTGGACTGCAGAAACCAGAAGCCACATGCTACTTTCACTGAGAGCATTCGTGCAGTACAGATCTGTAAGAGGAACATGGCTACAGAGGAGACACATCCTTCATAGTTAGCGGGGTTTGCACTTCTGAGGAGCTATGACCTTGGGTATATCGTCTCCTATTATAAGCCTGCCCTTTCTCACCTCTCTAGTGTCTACCCTCTAGGGTGCTGAGGATGAAAGCGCTCAGGAGATGCTGCCAGGAGTGGTTATCTGAAAGGCTGCGTGTGGTGATAGGTGCAAGGCAGGGCTACTCACTGCTCTGCAGTGGATCTGGCTTCTGCGGGTGAGTTGAGTGTATATTCCGAAGTGTGTGTATATTCCTAAGCTCCTGTTAGCACTTTGGAACATGTCTGTCTGGGTGCACTGTCCCCTGGGAATCGAGGGCTGTCACTTGTAAACTGAAAGCTTTCACATTTGCTCTGAACGCTTCTGCATGCAAGGAGCACCTGGTTCTAAGAGATGTTTTCCAAATGACATCATATAAAGTAACAGAAGTGGTCCTTTAGGCAACTAGCTTGTGCCAAAGAGAGGAACTGTGCTGCACCCTAGTGGCCTGGATGTCACCAGCTCTTCCATGTCCCTCTCCAAGATGCTAACTAACTCAGCTCCTTACAATACTGGTCTCCAGTGAGCTCTGAGTCCTATGTTTAATGAGATCTGCAAATACCTCACAAGAGGAAGGCACAGGAACTACCACAGAGGCTTTCTATCCAGCACAGCTCTTAGCTGCTGTGGAACAGATTTAAGCTCAGCAACAGACAGCAGTCACTGTACCCAGACCTGAACTGAGGACTGTATTGAGCAAATTCAAACAGAATCACCATAAAAAGAGCCCAGGTGGGCTGGAGAGATGGCTCAGAGGTTAAGAGCATTGGCTGCTCTTCCAGAGGTCCTGAGTTCAGTTCCCAGCAACCACATGGTGGCTCACAACCATCTGTAATGAGATCTGGTGCCCTTTTCTGGCCTGTAGGTATATATGCAGGTAGGATACTGTATGAATAAAAAAAAAAAAAAAATGCCCGGGCACAATCCCTACAAATTAAAAACTAACAGGAACTAATGGGGAACTGAGCTTGTCTTCTTGTCTGAGTGTCTACAGACACTGGTGATTGCTTCTGGGGCTACCTGTAGTGGCCTAGGGATGGGCCAAAGCCCTCTCTGAATCCCTTTCCTTCGGTGCCTCTCATTCGTAAGCAGTGTGATCCCTGAGAAATGCCAGCACCACCTTCTCACCCACCTGTGTACCTCACCAGTGTCCGCCCTGTGGAGATTTCCCAGAGTTTAGCTACAGAGTCTTTTCCACTTGAGAGGATGTACTTGGAATTCTTGGAGAAAATGGCAGAGCAGACTTCGGCCCCATCGTGAGCTTTCTCGAAGGTTGTGATGCAGCGATTGGAGACGCCGTCCCACAGCTTGATGCAGCCGTCCTTGCTGCCAGTGACGTACATGTTGGCACTGGGGTTATAGTTAACGGAACAGATAGCGTCGGTATGCTGGTCTTGGGGATTGCAAGAGACAAAACACTGGAAGGTGTTGATGTCATAGAGGCGAAGCGTGGGATGCTGAGTTCCAACGAGGATGAAGTCTCCAGAAGGATGGAAAGAGATGGAGCGCAACATCTCAGCTTCCTGAGGACAGAGGCACAATGTCAGTCGCCTGCACCTGACTGAGCTGCAGGGGGCAGAAAGCAAAAGCGCTTTCTGGGACTAGTTACTGGTCACATATTCCTAAAAGCAGACAGGAACCTCCCTTGTGAATGAACATGGGATGGAATCAGATGGATGGACCCTTACCAAGGCACTAGAGCAGCCACACTCACGCAGCCACAGAAAGGAAAGAGGAAAGCTTCCGTAATCTGCTCTAGGGATTTCTAAGGAAAACTCAGACGACGAGGGCCAGCAGCTGCTTCTGAAACACAAGGCTTTCTACAACAGAGTCAGCAGCGGTCACATGTCGCTCTTCTCAGATGATCAACACTTCCAACTGGCACTTCCGTAGGATAGCTGATCACAGTGTGAACCCCGAGATCCTGTTATTTACTGGAAAAACCTGTTTCCAGTTGTGGTGTGGCTCACCTCTAGAACACGCCTGTAATCCTCTGGCTGGAATACAGACAGACCCTTAGCACACACCTTTAATCTCAAACAGTGACGGTAAAGTTAGTTTGTAGAAGGAAGCACTCGTGTTCCAAAGTTCTAATGGCAAAGTGATGAATCACTGAAAGATTTGACAGAATGAATCAGAGATGAGATATGCTCAACTCTCATGAGAAGAGAGAGGAAGGGAAGCTCCTCGGGGTGCAGTGTAGAGAGAGGAGGCAGCTTTATGGGGTGAGTTTTGGAGAGACAGAGTGAAGAGGGAACAAGCTAGACACAGGTGAAGACAGAGTGAGGAGCCAGAAGATTAGAACAGATTGCCAAAATTAGTATAAGGCCAAGCAGAGTAATTCAGGAGGAATTAAGAGGGCCAGGTTGCATCAGTCCACTTGGAGAGGACTTGAGCCAGAACAGCTGAGTTGAACCAGCCAGCCAGAAAGGGTGAGCTTATTCAGCAGTATGTCTCAGAGGCTGAAATAATTCTAGGCCTAGATTAGACGGTTTAGAAGCTAGAAGCTTCCATGCCTAGGCCTAGGTTACTTTTACTGAGCACTTCGGTGGCTGTAAGGCACTTTTAGGGAAGACAGGGCTTTCTTTTGTTCCCCACCCAACTCCACTGTTTTGGTTGGTTTTTTTCTCCCCAGACCTGAGGCTTGATCCCACAGTGCCATAGAAGTCACTCTTCCCCAAACCCCCTTTTGAGACAGGGTCTCCCTCTATAGCTCAAGCTGGCAAGGAACTGACTATGCAGCAGGTTATTCTTGAACTTGTGACAGTCCTGCTGAATGTTAGGATTACAGTGTGATCCACCAAACCCAGCTCATCTGCAGTCTTGCTTGGCAAAGGACAGCCAGTGACTCCCACACCGATGGTGTCTCATCTAAGCGCTATGCAGGGCATGTCCTTTATAGGCTGATCACTGAGACCACTTGGAAAAAAAGTCATGAAATACCCAAATCTAAGAAAATAGCCATGAAATACTGTATCTAAAAGGTCCAGTGCTCCCCTGATATATCTAACCTGGATATACTTGAAGGCTCTTTTTGCAGACGGTTTGGAATAATCAAACAATTTTAGAGTATAATCCCTTGAGCCTGAGGCTAGGATCTGTTCTGTTGGGTGAAAAGCAAGACATGTGACTTCATCCACATGGTCGTAAAGAGTTCGAATCACCGGGTGGTTCTCCATATTCTGCTGCGCAGTCTCATTCATCATGACCTGGACCAACAAGAAAAGGAGAGATGATAGATGCTCAAGGCACAGAGGCATGCGGTCCGAGCCCACAGTCCCACGGGGAAAACCAGACTGGTGACAACACAGCTGCGCTGTCTGGAGCAACGGTAGGAGGGAATGGTACCTCGATTGGCATGGCACTTTTGGCCAACATTCTCTCTGTGTCCAGTATCTTTATGGAAGCATCAGCAGATCCTGTGGCTATTAACTGCCCGTCTCTGCTATAGGTGGCCACGCGGCATGGGCCTTTGTGGGAAGTGACATAACAGGTTTCATACTCGGAAGCCTCGGGTGACATTGTTTGGACATCTGCATCAAACTCCAGGTCAATCCCCGTGCCAGGGGCAACCGTGTCAGAGCGACCAATGGCATACTGCACTGCGGTGTCATCGTTCTCCATCCCTAAAGAGATCAAGGGGAAGAGCCTGAGAAAATCTGTTACATGCAGAGATCTGTTCTGGAACGGAAGTGAAAATGACATCCGGCAACACCGACCGCCGAGTGCTGGATGGATCCTGAGCCCGGTCCATCCTGTCTATGGGAGGCGCACACTGAGGACAGAAGGGATTCTTCACGCTTGCTTCCACAGCCATTCGCTCTAACGACAACAAAGACAACCAAAGCAGGAGCGGCATGTCACTCATCTTCCCGCTTAGAATGGGAGGCGATACTCGGTGTTCAACACTGTACTGCCGAGGACAACCCAGGGCCTCACGCGTGCCAGGCAAACGGCCTTTCACCAAGCCATTCCTCAGCCCTGAATTCTAATCTTTAGGGCTGTGATCGGTTAGCAAATTTGATGTGCGTTGCTATACTACTAACGTTAGTGAAATATTTTGAAAGAATGCCATGCTTAAGTATAATAAAGTTTATAAACAGTACATTTGTTGAGTGTTATGACAGAAGCCTGTGATCCCAGAATTTAGGTGTCTGAGGCAGGAGGATACTGAGTTTAAGATCCACCACTTACATATTGAGTTCAAGACAGCCTGGGAGACATGAAATCCTATTGCAAGCAAGCAAGCAAGCAAGCAAGCAAGCAACCCAAAAGCTGGGCATGATAGTGCTCGCCTTTAATCTCAACACTCACGGGAGGCAGAGGCAGGCTGAGCAGAGGCCAGCCTGATCTACATAATTTAAGTTCCAGGCTAGCCAGGGCTACATAGTGAAACCTTGTCTCCAAAACAAAACAAAGAGGCTGGAAAGATGGCTCAGTGGTTAAGAGTACTTGGTGCCCTTGGGTTCAGTTCCCACATGGTGACTCTCTAGGAGACTGGATGACCTTTTCCAGCCTCTGTGGGCATCAGGCACTCATATGGCATATCCACATACATGCAGACAAAACACACATACACATAAAATAAAAAATAAACCTAAACCAAACAAACCAACAACCAAACAACCAAAAGCCAGCCCAGAGGCTGGAGACGCTCAGCAGGTAAGAGCACTGGTTGGTCTTCCAAAGAAGATAGCTCGAGCCTCAGCAACTACATGGTAGCTTACAAACTGTCTGCAATTCTTGTTCCAGTGAATGTGATGCCCTCTTCAGGCCTTCTGTGCATCCAATATAGCACACACACATACAGGGAAAATCCCAAACACACAAAATAATAAAATAATAAAATAAATAAAATAAATAAATAATAAAAATCATCCCTCATAACAAACAAAGGGTTGAATTTAAACATAACCTCACATATCACATAAACAATAACAGTAATTGGTACAGGAAGAATCAAAACACTTGAAGAACTTTTGTGGTCTCTTCCCATGCATAAATTCTTGCTTTTCAAAACAGAAGCAGGCCTCAACTATAACTTGGAACTTGCTTGATTGTCTAAAAATTTAAAATAAAACCCATCAGAACAAGTCTTCAACATTACATTGGTTCAACATCATATATATTTTTAAAAAATTCATTTATTTATTTAATGTGTATGCATGCTCTATTTGCATATGTCCTGTGTCAGACCCTATCACAGACAGCTGTGAGCCACCATGTGGTTACTGGGAATTGAACTCAGGACCTCTGGAACAGCAGCCAGTGCTCGTAAGTGCTGAGCCATCTCTCCAGACCTACATTATACACTTTTAAGGCTATCTAGAATTAACGTCTTAAAACACCTCTCGCTATGTGCATGTGTCCTGACCTGGAACTGTGTGTATGTGTTGGTGATCACTTGCTGAAAGCAGGGAGCAGACTGAAAACAAACTGAAACAAAACAAACTTCTCATAAACGTTGGGAGTAATGTGTGGATGCAGCTGGGGGATTCAAACCACGGCTGAGGGGGTAGGGCAGGTATCTAGAGTGGGTTTGGCTTCCCATGTTCCCATCATAATGCTGATCTGGGTTCCTAAAACTGCTTACATGAGTGTCCAAACGTAAGACTAAGATATCGGCAGCCAACGGCTGGGTAGGACAGAGGTGGGACTTTTAGGATTCCAGACTGAGAGAAGAAGGAGGAGGAGCTCCACCATGCCAGGAGTAGAAGGTGATGGTGGGGGAGGAGGAGGAAGAGAAGGAAGAGGAGGAAGAAAAGGAGACATGCCTAAGAGTAGAGGATGGGAAGGCATAGCTGGCACATGAAGGAGCCGGGAGAGTGTAGCCCAGTGGGCAGCTCTCTAGGTTCAGGACAGCTAAGGTAGAATATAAATTTAGTAAGGAAGTGACCCAGCGGCTGTGCTGCTGAAGGCATGTCAAAATATAAAGGCGCTGTGCGTGTGTGTGTGTGTGTGTGTGTGTGTAAATCTTCGGGGTGGGTAGCAGGAACTTGCTGCCGCTGGGTCCCTTTATTCATTATTTATTTCAACAGGTATCAATGGCCAACACACGATCCTTATAGCGACAGAGTTTCTGGTCTACCTGGTGAGCATGGAGTTGGAAGGTGAAGACTGTGTGGAACTGAGGAAAAGGACAAAGCAAGCTTCTGACAGTGTCTGTTAAGAAGGGAACGAAGCACTGTGGCAGAGGAACCAGGCAGAGGAGCATGGGGGAGACAGGATAATTGTCTTTACAGGGATGTGAGAGCCAGCGTGCCAGGAGTCCTGAGCTGGCACTTGAAGGGAGTGCCCGGCAGATGGGTATAAATACACAAGAGGCAGCTTCATCCCCTGGACCCTACTCAGTGCCCACCACTGTATTCTGCAAATATCAACAAAGAATCTCAAAAACTGCCCCGGGCGAGCATGTACTTGGTCGTTCTGGAATCCACCCCCACAGCTTACCTAGCTTGATGAGATGCAGGAGCTGCTCTGAGGGCGCGCACACCGACTGGGGCTTGATCTCGTTGATGAGGCCATTGGCGATGCTAATATAGCCGTCGTACAGCAGCTGGCTAATGATCAGCTTGTAGAGCTGCTGGCGGTCCTTCAAACCCACTTTGGTTCTGTACATTTTGCAAAAGAGGATGACACTTTCCCTGACAGCTGCAAGAGAAAGCAGGCACTGAGGGAAAGGCAGAGAGGCATGCCCCGGGCACTGGAAGCACAGACCTTCTAGGCCGGGCGTAAGCACACACTCCAATCTCAGCTTGAGTAGGTGCTTTGTCTTTGGATGGTGACATTGGTTTTCTAGGTTCAGGTTCCTCAGCTGTTACCTAAGTCACTGGAGATTAATCAAAACGGTGCACAAAGAAACTATTCAAATAATGTCACTGACGGACACAGGAGACTCCCTGACCATTTTCAATTCGCTGCTCAACCACCCACTCACAACTTTCATTCTGTTGCTATCCATCTGACGCTTCTGTTAACAGTGGAGTCTGCAATAGGCAGACAGGTATGTTTTGTCGGATGCCTGGACCATTTACACCAGCTGGAATGTAAATCTACTAGTGACTCTATCACAAACAAAAAATGATTACCATCGAAACAAATAAGAAATGTAAAAATCCGAAAAACACATTACGCTCTTATCTTTATTTGGAGGGATCTAAGCTCTGCACACAAAACTGAAGATGATGATTTCTTAATCAACCTGGGTAGATAATTTGATAAGTATGTATGTGGTTAGACGTTTGACTATATAGGGCTTGGGAACATCAAGCAAGAAGGTAGCCTGGAGATACAGCCAATCCGTACAATGCTCGCTGACAGACACCCCAGGCTCAGTATTAAAAAAAAAAGACAAGCAATACCACACAGCTTCGTACTGACCAGAGTCCTTAACAATAACACCGCACAGTTCCTACTGCCAGATAACGCTGCCAAACACCTAATTAGCATTCGATCACTAAAAGAAGCTATTCAATATACTCGTGTACATTAGACAGAAATGTACACAAATCTACCCTTGCATAAGACATTGGGACACAATAGAGGGTGAAATGAATTCCAAGAATCCGTTCAAGCTCAAGTCAGCAGCCCCCCAAAAGATGAGGAAGAGCACACTCCGGAGCCCAGAACTTAACCACTGACCTACCATCTCTTCACTCCTGCCAGGAAACATCTGGGGCTGTATCGCGGCATTTAAAGAAAACGGGGTGGGGGGATGGATGTTGAACCTTTTCTTAACTCCCCACTGAACTTCCAATCGGGCACAGATTACTTATATTCTTCCCGGAGGGGACGCCGAGGCACGAGACAGGAGGAGCCCGACCCCCGGAAGCTAACACCTGGGAATGCAGGGGGCCCAGGGCGAAGCCGCGCGACCACTTCTGCTCAGGGCGGAAGGTGGGGACCCACCGGGACCGAGGCCCTTTGAGACCCGGGGTGCAGGCCAGGCCGGCCAACTCTAGGACACGGACTTGAGGCGAACCGCCTCTCGCCATCCTCTCCGCTAGCCCCGGTCCTTCACGTGATCCACTCTAGTCCCTAGCCAACCGCACTAGCCCGTTTCCTTACGCCCCCTGGACCCCGTACCCGCTGATCAGGGTCTCGGTCTCCCGCTCTCTTCTAGAAAAATGGAGGCGCGAATCGTGCCCGATCGATCGCTCTGAGAGCACACTCAGTGCGCACGTGCAAAGGGCATGCAGCCGAGTGCCGAGCAACCCCGGCTCACTCGTAAGCTTGCCCTTTTCGCCATCTTACTCACTGGCACGTTCGAGACGCTCATTCACCTTCTCCGAGCTGATCACCTCCGAGACAGCCTTGAATCCAAAGGGCTGTGTGTGACCGGCAAACGCCTGATACTGGGGAGTACGGCGGGCGATAGAACGGCCGCAGATCGGACGGGCCGTTGGTGCACCACTTCCGGGCTCCGATAGCTCAGTGCGCCTGCGCCCAGCTACGGCAGGGAACGAGCTTCCCATAGTCGCGTTTACGGTAAGCCAATCACAGAACAGCGTCGCTCCAGCTCTAGCCAATCAGCTCTTGGAGTAGAGGGTTTAACTCCTATTTTAAAAGGAGAACCTTTGAATTGTAACGGCTGAGCTACCGGGATCGCTTGGAGGCTTCGGTCGGAACCAGGTTCCTGCCTGTGAGTAAGAAGGGGACCTGGCTGGTGAGGGCGAGCCTGGATGCTGCAAACCGAAGGGGAAAGTTGAGTGGCATCAGGGTAATGGGTTTGCATTCCGTATAAGAAAGATCCAGACGGCTTTTTCCCCGGCTTGGGTTTAGGTTCTTTTGGGAATGGGAACTCAGACCAACAGCTAACCGAGTACTTTGCAAACTGATTGTGGATGCGGCAACTGCGGCTTAGTTAGTAGTTGGGACTAACTACTTCGGGTGGAGAGTTGGAGTCTAGGTCGAATCGATGAGTCCGTGAATGAACGGGAGTCCCCTCGTAGAGTGGTGCCCAGGGCCGGTGCTGCTCTCACCGCAGCCTCCGAGCAGTTTATGTCTGGACTACTCGAGGGTCTGGTTCAAAGCGAAGACCTGCTAAAGCCCAGTTTGTAGAGTATCCCAGAAGCTCTTGCGTTTGACCCCAAGCATTGTCTTCATGGTGGCCCCCGCTGTTTATTCCAACAGTAAGGTGGTGGAGGCAGGATCAGAAGTCAAAGGTCATCCTCGGCTACACAGTATGTCAGAGAAACCAGCCTAAACTACATATGTCCCTGACTCAACACCTACACACACACACACAAAGCGTGGTTGCTCACATCAGCAGTCTGAGGCAGGAGGATAGCCTTCGATTTGAGGCCAGCCTCAGCTACAATGTGAGAGCCTGTCTCAATGTGGAACCTGTCCGGAGATGTAGTTCTGTTAGTAGGGTGCTTGCCTAGCATGTCCTGGATTCCATTCCCAGCACTTCAAACACTGAGGATGGTGATGACATTTGTAATCCCAGCCCTGAGGAGCCGCAGGCGGGAGGATCAGAAGTTCAAAGTAACCCTCCACAGTATAGCATGTTCAAGGGCAGCCCCGGATCCATGAAACTATTGTCTCAAAACCACAAAAGTTAGGTGTGGTCTGGAATTCCTTTAATCCCAGCATTTAGGAGGCAGAGGTAGAGTCTCAGTGAGTTCAAGGCCAGCCTGGTCTACATAGTGAGTTCCAAATCAGCAGGGCTACACAGGGAGACCCTGTCTCAAAAAAATCCAAACCTAGCAAACAAATCCTGGCTCCACTGCAGATACAGGAAATAGAAATCTCTTAGGCATAAGACCCTAGTGTAGCTATCATGGGAAAGCTAAAATGCAGGGCTGTTTATTAAGGTTGACCTTGGGCCCAGGAGTTCCATTTCCTGACAGGCTTCTGGTGAGGTAGCTGCAGCCACCATCCTTTTCATAAGGCTTCTGCCTCCTGCCTAGCCTCCATGATCTGAAAAGGGGAACCCGAGCCTCAGCCTGCTGTGGCATGAACAGTTTTCTCACTTGTAGTAAATCTTTGAGCTGAATGAGAACTGTCAAGGTCATTTGGTGTAGATGCAAAGGTGGAGGACTTGGGGGAGGGAGGGTAGGAAATGACAGCTAGCAAGGTGCCACAGGAATATAGGTAAGTGTGCACGGGTTACCACACTGGGGGAAGCTGAGGGACCGGCAACACTATGGGATTTAAAAGGCCCAGTGGGAGTAGGCTTGGGAGGAAGAGAGGAGTGGGTAGGTAGTTCCAGAGTTTTGCTGTCCCAAGAGAGAGGAGAGATGGGACCATGGCCTGAGGCAGCTGGGAGGCAAATGGGGCTTTTTAAGGTAGGAAGTCTTCCAAGCAGAAGATGTCCAAGGGGGAAGAGAACGAGAGGGAGTGACATGATGCAGGGCGTGTGAGAGGGAAGGGCCTCAGGACCGAGCAGAGTGTGGATCAGGCCATGGCATTCGTCACTTGTCAGCTTGGTTCTCTTGTACCAAGCTAAGGTGAAAGGCTCTTGTCTCTCTCTCTCCAGGTGACATGGACAGATGTAAAGAAAACTGTGTCTCCAGGCCTGTTAAGGTAAACAGACTTATCTGTATTCACAATTGCTTTTTTTTTTAAAGACCTATTTGTTTATTTTATGAAAGTGAATGTGTCTTCATGCATACCAGAAGAGGGCATTGGATCCCATTACAGATGGTTGTAAGCTGCCATGTGGTTGCTAGGAATTGAACTCAGGGCCTCTGGAAGAGCAGCCAGTGCTCTGAGCCATCTCTCTATCCCCCACAATTGTGTTTTTAAAATGATGTGCATTTTGTTTGTGTGCACCCAAGCATATGTCACTGTGTAGGTCAGAGAGCAGCTTGCCGGAGTGGGTTCTCTCTGTCCTGTGGGTCCAGGGACACTAACCCAGGTCCCCAGCTTGGCACAAGAGCCCTTGGTCACTAAGCAAACCTAAACAGCTCATGTGCAAACTGTCCTGCTCATCGAATTCTTTACGCTGTGGCTTTGGGTGGAAACTTTAGGCCCCTTCCTGACCCTGCCTGGAGGCTTCCTGAGCCTCTGTTTCTGCAGGAGATGGCTTTTCCCTGGAAACCTCAGACCCTCTGAGCTCATGGTGGGTCCTGAGCGTCTCATTTAAGGAAGAGGACTTGTCTGAGTGTGATTAGTGTGGGGCTTAAGAATGAAGACTGACAGTCTTCAGAAGTAACCCAGGGCAGCAGTGACTGCTTTTCAAGGCACCTACGCTTCTTTCCTCTTTGCCCTTTTTTCCTATTGAAAACTCAGTAATTTCTATGCATTTTAGTTTTGGAGATTACATTTTTAAAAATTATTTCTGTTGAGTGGGGCTTGGTGGGCACACCTTTAATCCCAGGATCTAGGAGGCAGCAGTGGTCAGACTGAGATAGAGGCCAGTCCATTCTTTATAGTGAGTCTGGGACTGGGCAGGATTACACAGAGACTGGGTCGAATAAGTACTCTGAGAGAGAAATGCAGGTAAGTTAATTAACTGTGATAATGGTGCTAAGCCATGGAAACCCAGCAGAACCTTAGATTTAGACGGTTGCAAACTTGCTTGAGGATGATCCAGTGGCCGGTTCTATCATTTTTTTTCCCTAAACGTAGAATCGCTGCAAGGGTTTGATATAAAGCTACAATAAGATTTGAGTTTGCCTCAGGTGCAGAGGCTGGCCTAGAATTCAGTGCTTCTCCTGCCTCAGCCTCAAGTACTGCATTACAGGTGTGGTGTTCCAGCTTCCGGGTGCTGGGTTTTACAGGTGCTCGGAGTTTCCATTACTGCATGGGAGCTCATTCCTGAGTGGTTCAAGGAGCAGGCTTCAGTAGGTGAAGTCCTCCCTTGGGGCGCATGCACAATAAAGAAGCTTCAGCCTCCTTCCTTTTACTTTAGTAATTAAAGCGAGTTATATCTTTTATGGATGGATGTTTGCCTGCATGTAGCCAGAAGAGGGGGTCAGATCTCCTGGATCTGGAGATGGCTGAAGTCACCGTGTGGGTGCTGGGAACCGAAGCCAGAGCCTCTGAGAGGGCCGTCAGTGCTCCTGACTGCCCAGTCATCCTCTGAGAGGGCCGTCAGTGCTCCTGACTGCCCAGTCATCCTCTGAGAGGGCCGTCAGTGCTCCTGACTGCTCAGTCATCCTCTGAGAGGGCCGTCAGTGCTCCTGGCTGCTCATCATCTTGCTGCCCCCCATTTCCATTTATTACTCAAGATATTTATGATTTTTGTTAGACTGCAAAGGAACCTTGGTTCTCAGGGTAGCATTACCCTTTCCTGCAGGCTGTAACACCTTTCTTCTCTCTGACTCAGACCACAGTTCCCTTCGGTCCGAAACGAGTCTTGGTGACAGAGCAGATTCCTTCTCAGAACCTAGGATCGGCTAGCAGTGGCCAGGCCCAGCGGGTCCTGTGTCCCTCCAACTCCCAGCGTGTCCCTCCACAAGCCCAGAAACTTGCTGCAGGTCAGAAGCCAGGGCTAAAGCAATTGCCAGCTGCCAGTGTTCCTCGCCCTGTGTCCCGGCTCAGTAACCCTCAGAAGACCGAGCAGCCTGCAGCCTCGGGTAAGTGGCGTCGTTACTGTATTGGATGCTCAGATGTATAGATTGGCATTTATTCTTGCCATCCTAGCCCCTGTACCATGTCTACTGAGAAGGAGGGAAAGAATGAGATGTCCATGCTCACGTATAATGGTGTGTCTGGGTCTGGGCTTCACTGGTGCTGGGCATGCACATGTCATTGCTGGCCCAGCCAAGGCCAAGCTACTGCAGGTCCTTTGGAGCAGAAGGAAATGTTGGATGTAATGGAGGGTCCCCAGGGCCTGGGAGGGAGGCTGCACTCGGATGGCACCAACTGGAACTGTGTCAAGGTCTTCCCCAGCATCTCCCTGGAGAGTTGGTTGGAGGGTCCTTCCTAAAAGGAGAACAGAGTCAGAGGGTCCTGACAGAACAGCCGGCAGAGGGGGGAATGCGCCGGGTGAGGTGGTCAGGGGAGTGGTCGACTTTACATTACATGTCCAGGGTCACAAATTCAGTCATAATTAGAAAAGACACACAGAACAAATTGTTCTTATTATCAACTCTATAACTCCAATTTAAAGAGTCCAAAGAATGTCACCTCCAAAGCAAACACATTTACTATATGACAGCCTGCTTTTGGGCTGGCAGTATTTGCTGTTTGAAAGCACTCCAGACAAACAGAAAATATCTGAACCAATCTTTTTATGAGCAACAAATACTAATACCTAATTTCTTTTACTATATCTTTCATCGTCTATGCTATAAAGTAGGAAAAGCTTATTTTAGTCAGTCTATTTATTTACTGAGTTTTATTCCTTCAGGAGTGTACCCTGCATGACCCCCTATTTTTAAACTACATTTTTAGAGACCTCTAAGCCTATACTAAAAAGAGACCTTGAATCTGTAACCTGTTCTCCTGGCCAGTCAGAGTTTGTCAATTGTCTCTGTTTGCCCTATGTCAATTATATGGCTTGAGCTTGCTCAGGGACAGACAGCCAGGAAGATTCTTGGAGTAACAGCCCCATCTGACTCTGTGGTTCTCTGTGCTTAATGATCCCCGGGGCATAAGAAAGACTTCCAAATAGTGGCCAGATAAAGTTAATTTTAGGATTTTCCTAAAAAGACTCAGACATGGTTTTTCTCAGGAAAAAGACTAAAATGAATCATAATGCAGAAAGTCCCCGATAATACAGCAACCATAGTAATACACAGTAATACAGAGACCAAACCCCAAAGGTTAGAGAGAGGACAGTGACTGTCGCAATCGGCTCAGCATTGCTGGACCTGTGTCAATCAGCTCCATGACTCCCCCTGTTTCCAGTGGGTATGGCTGTGTCAGAACAGGGCTGATGTTGGTGATTGGCAGCTGGTGGGTGCTTACAGAGTCTTTGAGATAGCCTCGACCTGCATCCTCCCAACCCTGGTGGCACTTCATGGAGACAGCATGCTACTGGCACACTTACACAGAAGGCTAAAACTCAGCGGTTAACTTATCCCAGGACAACTCCAGAACTCAGAGAGGTATGGGCAAGTCTGCCACTTCACGTAGGAAGCAGATGCAAGACCACTGTGTGATTAAAAAACTGAGAGATGGTTCAGCAGGAGGCAGCTGCCGCCGTGTGAGGAGGGGGAGAACTCAGCCAGGCCTCATAAGAAAGTAGAACAGTCTGTACAAATAAGCCAGCCAGACAGTCTGGAGGAAATGCATTTACATTTCATGCATATATGCCAGTCACAGAACAGGGAAGGGCCAGATGGCTGAAGCTTATGGAGTATCCTGAGCTTCAGCGAGGGAAAGGTGCCCGGGTCCTCCAGTAGAGGAGGCCCTCCAGTAGTAGAGCTCTGAGGGCAGAGGAGTGGACGGAGGGGAAGAAAGCCTGTGCTGCCTTCAGATCCACCTCTCAGCTGGCCCTCTTTGTCCTGATGTCTGTCCTTTAGAAACACACTAGGCTGGAGTATATTTTGGGTGGCTTCTCCTGGTTTCAAGTCATATTTTGGGGTCATTGTAAAAGTAACTTTTTTTTTTTTTTTGGTTTTTCGAGACAGGGTTTCTCTATGTAGCCCTGGCTGTCCTGGAACTCATTCTGTAGACCAGGCTGGCCTCGAACTCAGAAATCTGCCTGCCTCTGCCTCCCAAGTGCTGGGATTAAAGGCGTGCGCCACCACCGCCCGGCGTAAAAGTAACTTTTATTCACTCGAAGTAATTGTTGTCTTGGAGGAGGCTTACCGCCTCTATCCGCTAACCTGAGCATAGTCTGGAAGCCTATAGCCTCTGTGCAATCTGTTCTAGGATTCTAGGCCTAGACTGTTTTCAGCCTCTGAGACTGAAAAGAGTTCATCTTTCTCGCTCTTTCTGAACTCTGTTGGTTGGTTTAACTCACCTGTTCTGGCTCAAACTCCTCTCCAAGCTGACTGATCAATCCGGCTTCTGTCAGTTTCATACTGACTTGCTCTGATTGACCTCAAATTAATGTTCTAATCTCCTGGCTCCTCATTCTCTGGCTTATTTGCTCTCTGTATAACTGTCCCAATAAACTCCCTCCTTCTTCTCCTTCTTTCTCTCTGCACTGCCCTCTTAAATAGCTTCCCTTCCCTCTCTCTTCTCATGAGTTGGGCATATCCTATTCTGTCAGATCTTTCTCTGATTGGTCAGTGTCTGTCACTCAGACATCAGTTTCAAACATGGCTGCTTCCTTCTGCAAACTAACTTTGCCTTCATTGTTTGGGATTAAAGGTGTGTGCTAAGGGTGAGCCACACTACAGCTAGAAACATGTCTTTCCAGTAAATAACACAACCTTTGGGTTTGGAGGGTGATTGTCCAGCGAAAGGTCATGGTCCTGACCCCCCCCCCCCCAAGTAGTGACATTGTCAACGTGAGTGGAGATAATGAATCATGAAGGAGAAACCAGTCTGGACCCAAAGACTGAGTGGAACTGTTTCAGTCTCATACACTTGGGTAGTATTTGGAATAGCACCCGTGGTCCCTGTGGTGTGGCACTGTGGTACATGTTCTTGAGTTAGCGGCTTCTATTTTCTTATGAGACTTTGGAAGGAGGGTGACTGCTTGGGTTTTGTTCCCATGTTGATAAATTCCTACGAAGTGATGCATGCCAGCACAGCAGGTGGAGACAGTGACAGTGGTAGCTTGTGGATGGGGCAGTTTCTGCTCTCCCTGTGGAAGCTTTCCTGAGGAAACCTCCAGGGAGAGGGTGGACATTCCCAGACTTGGAGGGAGGGCCTGCTCGTGTTCACTCCATGTGGCAGGATTGTGTTATGGGTTATGGTTTAATAGTCTCCCCTGTGAGGAAAGTGAAAAGCCCTGGCCTAGCATGTCCCTGTAGTATTTTGGTGATGGATTGTTTTTTTGTCTTTTGCTTTTTTCTGTTCGTGGTTTTTCTTTGTTTGATTCATCTTTTCATAGATTTTTCTCTTTTCTTTTTTAAAAGAACTTTATTTAGCTGCTCTAAAAACAGTATTTTAACTTATTTTATATAGGAAATAATTCTGAAAAGGAACAGGCATCCATAAAGAAAACTGAAGACACAAAAAAGTAAGCCTTCTTTCTCTTCTATGAGAACACCTATCTGGTTGGGACACTAATCTTCATGTGATCCCCATTAAAATCAAACTTACCAGGGGCTCAAAAGTAGTTCTTTTTATTTAATTACTTTTTCATAGAAAATTTTTGTTAAAACTTTATTTTAAAAAGTAGTAAAAAAAAAAAAAAGAAAAATCACATGACAAAAGCTGCTATAATTCCATGAACTTGTACACAATTTGGGCAGCTGTTTGGAATGGCCTGTCGGCTCTTCCCTGCTCCCACCAGTGACAGTGGCTCTGTGTTTCCCGCCAGAGTGACTCTCCACCCCACAGCCTGTTAGCTTCTCTGGGGATGCAGGGAGGAGGTCCCCACATGGTCCTGAAAGGGTGTCCTGTCCAGTACAGTTGCTGTCCTGTGGTGGCAAGGGTTGTCAGTCAGGCTGTCCTGGAGCCGAGTGCTGCTGTGGCCTGGGAAAGCTGGGCTCTAAAGTCTGTGGCTCATTCTGGTGGGTTTGGGTTGATGCTCACTGAGGGTCATCTGAACATCATCTGAGCATGACCATGTTGACGGCTCATTGGCATGGCTCTGAGCCATGGTTAGTGATGTCTTCTTTTAATTGCTTGCATTACTTTGTAGAAGGCAGTGGACTCTGGAAGACTTTGACATTGGTCGCCCACTAGGAAAAGGGAAGTTTGGAAATGTCTATCTGGCCAGGGAGAAGCAGAGCAAGTTCATCCTGGCTCTGAAGGTGCTGTTTAAGATACAGCTGGAGAAGGCAGGTGTGGAGCACCAGCTGCGGAGAGAAGTGGAGATCCAGTCCCACCTGCGGTGAGTGGTCCTCCCCGGGAGGAGCTGGGGAGCCAGACAGTGCCCCCTTCCAGCTTGCTTCAGGCCACCACAGGGAATGGTTGAAGCTGACATTTCCCAGAGACACAGGTGACGTGGCCCTCAGGAAACATAGCTCAAGGGCTTAAAGCAAACAGTGTCCTTGGGCTATATTTCATCAGGGGGAGAATGAGAGGAAGACACTGGATGAGTTGGAAGCATTGGTTTTTCCCTTTTGGCTTTCGGTGTTTCTAAGTTTGCTACAGATGCCAATCCTGAGGCTCTGGTGTCCTCTGCTTGTCTGGCTTGCCATCACCTGGCAGGGTGGGGACTGGGGCAGCGAATGGTGCTACTTAGCACCCGCCCAGTGCCAACCTGTCTGTCTTGGATGTGTCTCCTGTTTGCATGGCCTGCTTCTGCACAGAAGAAGCACTTCCCTCCACACTCAGAGAGAAACTGGTGTCAGCTGACACGCTCCCACTGAGAATAAAGATGTCTGAAAGGAGCAATGTGAACTGAACTCGATCTGCTTCTGTTTTGAAATCCATGCGTGGAGATGTTTAAGGTGTCTCTTTCTTGGCTAGGCTCAGACTTGGGTTCAGACCTCGTGTGTGTTCTTGTGACACCAATTGTCTTTATTTCTTGGGTCAGCAGCCAGCCCATGCTGAGCTGGCTCTGCAGCCGGGTGTCACCGCCTTTGTTCTTTGTTGCAGGCACCCCAACATCCTCAGGCTCTATGGGTACTTCCATGACGCCACCCGCGTGTACCTCATTCTAGAATATGCGCCCCTTGGAACAGTCTATAGAGAGCTTCAGAAACTCTCCAAGTTTGACGAGCAGAGAACCGCTACTGTAAGTGCTCACTCCCTCACCCTCCTCTTCCTGATGCACCTTCTCTGTGCTGGAGCTGACTGTCTTCAGAGGAAGGGCTTCGTAGCGGCAAATGTTTGAAACAAGAAAGTCAAGGCAGCTTAGTGGCCTCTATACCAAGTCATCAGTGTGTGTGTGTGTGTATGTGTGTGTGTGTGTGTTTACTTGAACAAGTTTCTGCTTGCCCACAACTTGTTTCTCTTATCCTTTTTTTATAACTAAGCAGTACTGGTACATGACTATTGTGCTTTTCTTCAGTGTCATGTGTTCTTTGTGACTAGCAAGGGTGAGGGTACTGAGAAGATCTTGGTTTAAAGTGCGGTTTTGTCACGTCACCACTGTGTATTTGTAGTGTGACTGCTTGCTAGGTGGTAAGCTAGTGTCTTGTGCCTTGGGTGGTCTTTCTACTGTAAAGTCAGTGTCCCCCTTCCCATGCCGAACTCTCAGAGCCAGGAAGCATGCTCTCCCTGAGTGCAGTGGGACTTATTTGTTGCCACATTGTTAATATCTTTAGGTTTATGTTATCCATGTGGATATTTTTCTCTGTGCACAGAGGCCAGGGCAGGGAGTCAGATTCCCTGGAACTAGAGTTGTAAACACTCCATGTAGGAGCTGGGAACTGAACCTGGGTCCTCTGGAAGAGTAACCAGTTTCTCCTGTCTTTAAAATGCAGAGGACTTGTTTTATGTTTGGCCTGTGCTACCTTATTTTGTTGTTCCAGCATTGTCTCTTGGTTGCTCTTCCTGGTTTCCACATAAACACTTTTGGCTGCGTGTGCTTTCTTTCTGGTGCCAAGTAGTCGGTCTCATCTCTACTTCCAGGCCTGGTCCTAGAAGCAGCCATTTCTTCCTCAGGGATCTTGGCTCCTTTGTTGGAGAGTGTTCCTGGGAGCTGAGGTCTCCTGGGAGCTCTTGCTGCTGGGCTGTTGTTGCTTCTAGGTCTTCAGCTGGGGAGAACGTGTGGGGCTCGTGCATGTTTGTTTAGTGATCAGTATTCATTCGTGCTGAGCTTGTCCATTGTCTGTGGGATATTGTGGACACCCTGTCTTGGGCTTCACTGTACCTTGTACCCCAGCAGTGAGAGTAGCACCCACTGCCTCCTTATGCATTCCATTGTGTATGCATGTGTCTCATGGTGTGCCTGGGTCTCACAGTGTGCCTGCGTCAGCTGGTGGCAGTTTGTCTTTCATGCTAGCACTCCTCAGGCATTTGCTACCATGGTTTTGGGCATCAGTGGATCTGACAGGGTAGTCCTCTGTTGGTCTGAGGTTTCCAGTGGCATGTGACACTGGCTGCTGTTGTATTATATAGCTCCCTCAGCTCCTGTCCTGTGTGTTCTGCAGACGTCTCCTCCTTTCCTGCTTTGCCATAGGAGAAGGATGTTTATAAAACACTGAGACAAGTAATGCTTCATAAAAATAACAATACCAAAGTCTGGTTTTGTTTTCCTTTTGGGAAAAAAAGTTTTTTGCCAGTTATGCACTTGACGCACCGAGCCACGCTGTGCTACCCTCAGCTCTGCCCTGCTGAGGTGTCTCGTGCATGCTGAGTAAGTGGCTACCACTGAAGTCTACCTCACCCCAGGGCTGGGAGGTTCAACAAGAGGCAAATAGACAGGTTTGCTGGAAAATGCCCACTGCTTTCCATCTTTGCTTACTTAATTTTCATGTAGATTAAAACTTAGTATAGTTATCCTGAATATCCTGTTAAGGAATGCAAAGCAGACTGTGAGACTGGCAATAGATTCTTCAGATGTGGAGGCTGCAGGAGCTCAAGGTCTGCACCTGATCAGGGCTGTTTAAATGTCAAATTGTTTAACTGTTCCTATTGCTAGCTGTGCAGTTCTGTAAGTCTAGCTTTCAGCCAGTCTGTTCCCTGCCTCTCAAGATTACATTACTTGTGTGAGCATTGTGTTAGCTGAGCCCTGAGTGAATCTATCAATCTGGTATTCACAGACTTGCCCCGCTTTTCTACGGTATTTGCTTGAAGACCTGAAAAGAAACACGTTAGTCTGTGTTGGATCAGCGTTCAGTGCTTGACGGCCTTGGATAAACCTAAGCCCTGGGCCTCTTCTGCTTTTCTCCCAACAGTACATCACCGAGTTGGCAAACGCTCTGTCGTACTGTCATTCAAAGAGAGTGATTCACAGAGACATTAAGCCAGAGAACCTGCTGCTTGGGTCAAATGGAGAGTTGAAGATTGCAGACTTCGGATGGTCTGTTCATGCTCCGTCTTCCAGGTATGGGGTCCCAGGTTAGCAGAAGCCCTGGGTGGGGCAGGAGTGGGGGGCGGAGGTTGGGGGCAGCACTGTTAACCAAATGCTAGTCTACGAGGTCTTGGCTGACCTAGGCTTACTGGAGCAATTTAGACCTGATAACCTAGGCTCTCTCGCACTCTGGCGTACGGATGCTGAGTGGCCCTAGAGCCTAATGGAGGGGGGCGATGAACCAGGAGATGTGGCTGGTGTTTGGTAAACACAGGTGTATCCTGGAGGGACACCTCTGGAAGGTAAGAGGGAAGCAACCAAGCCCTGGGTGCTGGTGTGTCCTTTAATCCCAGCACCTGAGAGGCTGAGAGGGAAGGATCTCAAGTTGAGGGTCAGTCTGGTAAGACTGTCTGTCTTAAGCACAGTACTTAGTCGGGTGTGGCGGCCCATCCCTGTGAGCCCAGCAGCAGCTAGAGGGCTGGGGCCAGAGAATACCTGCTTAGAGTAGAGTCTGGACTGCATAGAAAGGCCTTAAAAAAAGGGGGGGGGCTGGAGAAATAGCCCAGCTGTTTAGAGCACTGGAGGCGTTTGCAGAGGATCTGGATTCAGTTCTTAGCACCCCCATGGTGGAACACAACCATCTGTAACTCCAGTTCCAGATCTGACACTTTTTCTGGCCTCTTGGGATACTAAACACCCATGTGCACAGGTAGACATGCAGGCAAAATACCTATACATCACAAAATACTTATACATCGAAAAATTAAAACCTTTAGACCACTAAACCAGAACAGCCAAAGTACTGAAGAACCCAGTGCATTTCTATGAAGTACATTGCAGGGCTGTAGCTCGAGCGTGGGTCCTGTTGGGCGGAGTTGTGGATCCCGTGTGTCTGCCACAGCTCAGGGAGGCAGAAGCACAGGAATTTGAGTTCCCTCTACACACCAGGCAGCTATGAGAAGCCACCAGACTCCACCCGGGCATGGGGAGATCTCAGCCTGAAGTCCCGCAGGGGCAGAGCTCTGGAGTGGGGGGTTCCCTGGCCAAAGTGGCTGGCTGGGAGACAACGCTGGGAGCCACAGAAGAACTGTGACTGGGGGAATGTGGGCTAGACTGGCCCACAGCCTAGAGGGATGAGGGAGAGAAGCAGCACTCTGCAGGGTAGAGACTCTTGGTTAGGGGACTCGCTTGGCTGGGTGGCTTGGCTAGCTTGCTTGAGTTGGCAGGGCTCCATGGTGGGAATGGAGAGAAGTCTTCTACGGGAGATTAAGCAGTGACTCGGTCATCAAAGGCCTGCTCCACGGGTTCTCCACGGTGGGGTCCCAAAGACACGAGGAAGTCCATGGTTTTAAAAGGTTTATCTATTGTTGCCGGGTGGTGGTGGTGCACGCCTTTAATCCCAGCACTTGGGAGGCAGAGGCAGGTGGATTTCTGAGTTTGAGGCCAGCCTGGTCTACAGAGTGAGTTCCAGGACAGCCAGGGCTACACAGAGAAACCCTGTCTTGAAAAACCAAAATAAATAAATAAATAAATGAATGAAATAGAAAAGGTTTATTGTCATGGCGGAAAGTGGATGTGGCTGTATACCCCTGGACCTCAGGGTGGACCTGAGTTAAATAGGGAGGGAAGAGGGTCTGGGAAGGAATGCTTAATTGGCTACACCCTCTGGCCTTTAAGTATCTCATTAATATGGAGATCTCTTGAGGCTCTGAGGCCTGTAGTCATGCCCTCTACCTGTGCTAGGTGATACAAACCTCTCTCTTTGGGAAGGGCTGTAGGGACATTGTCCTAAGTGACTGAAAGGCAGGGATCAGTGGAGGTCTTTGGCCTCGTGTCAGGAGCCTGGAGTGTGGGACCAAGACCAAACACCTACCACCCCATTAGGGTCCAGGGTTCGAGGCCTGTGCTTGACCAGGAACCAGGCTGTCCTTTCGTGGTCCCATAGCACATGGCTGCCTCTTTCATTTTGTAGACTCTTCTCTTTCCAAGACTTTTCTTTCTATCCCCCCATAAATGAAATAATCTCACGCTGTAGCCCAGGTTGGCTTTGAACCTCTATCAATCCTCCTGCCTCATCCTACCAGATGTTGGAATTATAGATGTAAGTCAATACACCAAGCCTGAAATGTTGGTGGTCCATCATGGAGAGCTCATGTGGAACCCAAGATGCAGTTACAGAGCAAGCACTGTATAGCAATTTTGTCATTGCTTTCTGAGATGTCATCTTGCTTCAAAGCCCAGACTGGCCTCCAGCATCTCAGCCTCTGTCTGTCCAGCCTCTGTGGTGTTACTGGGATGAGAGGAGCCACTGTTTCCCTGGCGTTCCTAAGAGGTTCTGGAGTTGGACAGGTCTGGGGGAAGGTTGGTGGCTAGTGTGTGATCTTACATGCTTCCCTCTGACCATTTAGGTGGGCACCTGAGAGCACTGGCCAGCCATAGGGAGCACTCACGTCACATCACTACATAGTGAGTGTGTGTGTCAACCCCAGCCTCTGTCTGTTTCAGGAGAACCACGCTGTGTGGCACCCTGGACTACCTGCCCCCAGAGATGATTGAAGGCCGGATGCATGATGAGAAGGTGGACCTCTGGAGCCTCGGTGTTCTCTGCTATGAGTTCCTAGTGGGGGTACCTCCTTTTGAGGCACAGACTTACGAGGAGACGTACAGAAGGATATCTCGGGTAAGCTGCTGCTGTCAGGCTTCTGCCGAGGGCTGGTGTTTATTTATGTTCACCTCTGACGCACGCTTGTGTTGGTTTATCATTTATTCTGCAGGTTGAATTCAGATTCCCTGACTTTGTGACGGAGGGGGCCAGGGACCTCATTTCAAGACTGTTAAAACACAATGCAAGCCAAAGGCTAACACTGGCAGAAGTCCTTGAACATCCTTGGATCAAAGCTAATTCCTCCAAACCTTCAACTGGCCACAAAAGCAAAGAGCCAACTAGCCAATCATCTTAGGGAATCTGGAGCCATGGGCACTGTGCAACTGTGAGAAACGCCCCACTGAAGCCACGCCCCATTGAAGCCACGCCCCCACTGAAGCGGTGCTGTCCTCAGGGTGCCTTGCTGGGCAACTAGTCCTTGGCCTTACATCAGGAAACACCACCTGTTGCTCAGCCCCCAAGAACCATGCTGCTTTTCCTGATTTAGTAATCTGGAGGGAAGGTTTCACTACAGCTCTTCCCCCCTAACCCCCACACCCTGCCTATGCCCCAAGGTGTCCTTGTGGGGGTCTCACTGTGGGCAAGTTAGCAGGGATCACCTGCGTTGTAGCCTTCAAGTGCCAGAGTGTGTGTGTAACTTATTGGGTCGCCAGGCCTGGGGAAGCTGTTGGAATGGATATGTTATCTTTTAAGTGTCAAAATAAAGGTTTGTATAGACTTTGTTTTTAAGTGACACCCATTCAGGCCCTCTTGTTTTCAGCCTTCTGAAGCCCACGTGGGATTCAGATCCTCAACCACTGTTACGGAGCCTGTGCTTGACCTCTGTCTTGGGACCTGACTCAGGTGTCTCTGGATGTTAAAGGCTATGTTTTATGTTGGTGTTCTGTCATGTATGCAAACTTGTTAAATATATAACTATATGTATAACATCTACCTGGAGTACATGGCTAATCATTTGAGCATCTCTTCACTGTCGGCTAGCCATGAGCAGCTATGGTGGTTTTCTGGCCTGCTGGGTACGCCCCTAACAGGTTATAGCCACCAGTGCCATCTGTCCATCAACCAGATGGGGAACTTGGAATTAGAGAAACAGGATGTCATGTCAACTGGACCACCATCAGGAACTTGAGAACATGCCTGAGTGGAACTGCAGAAGCCATCCTCTTGAGAGACAAGAGGTCTTTGGTCCCTGGTCCTGTGCTAAATTACCTGGCTTTGTTGAAGTAGAATCATTGCTAGTATTGTCCACCCAAGCTGCAGTTCAGTGAGATGTAAGACAGGGAAGGAAGCTGAGCAGGGGACACTGCTCCTACAGCTCATGCTAGTCTGTGATTGTCCTTACGTGCAGGTTATTGCCACATTCCTGTGATGCTCTTCCTGCCAGATGACAGACCACATACTTGTACAAAGATTTTTATTTGCTTCACAGACTCTAAGCTGTTCACTTGGTCTGCTTAAAAAACTAGAGACACACAATTGACTTACATCTTAAAATAGTTTCCTTGCACCAGTTCTACTCAGTGATAACAGGTAGAAGCAGAGCTCCACGTCTTGCTGGTTTATACGGTGCTTTAGTTGCTCGACCTCAGCTTCCTGTGTCTGGCTGCTGGGTTCAGGCCTGAGCGCAGGCTTAGCTTTGTGCCAGTTTTATTGCTGCTTTCAACGTGTTTTCTTCGCATAGGTGTTACTTAGGAACTGGAATGGGAGAGCAGCTGGGCTGAGGATCCAGAGCCTGAAGCTAACGTGGCCGTTTCAACACTGGGGAGGGCCCATCCAGTCACTGCCCTGGGGCTCAGCTAGGTGGATGTCCTTGGAATTTGTTTCTGTAATACATCCTGATTTGAAATCAGTGAAAGTGTTTTTGGCAGTGGGCTGGAAAATGAGACAATCCCACTTCAGAGATGTCATGAATGGAGAATTTGTTTCACAAAAACTGCTTTAAATGTTAACTGCGACAGATGACTCAAGTAACAGGGCTAAGACTCTGTCACCAGAGCTCTGTAAAATGCACTTTACTAGTTAACAGTTGTCTCCTTTGTCTTCTGGCTGTCAAAGTAACTTAAAAGGAACTGTGAACAAGAAAAAATGAACGCAGTCCTTTCCACCATGCAGCTGAGCAGACTTCAAAGTTCGTTCCAACACTAGCTCCCCGGGGGAGAACTATAGAGCCACATGGCATGGTTGGGGCGGGGGAGAGTGTTCTTATTATAGATAGGAGAGAACAGCCAGAGGCATCTGGAAGAGTTCAGAGAGAGAGAAGTAGACTGAACATGGCCAGGGGTACCTTTGAGAGGGGAGGCTAACACAGGGTAGAGAACAGCTGGGTTATGCACGAGTAGCTGGGGGAAGGGAAGCCTGTGAGCTGGGGGCAGTTTAGGGTAGGAGGGGATGAGAAGGGATAGGAACACTGGAATGTGTATCAGGTTCTCGTGATCCCAGCATGCCCTTTGATATGCTGTTAGGTGCCACAGGTATATATTAATGGGAGAGCCATATGTCCTTTCTGCCAGAAGTAACAGAAATGACTCCATTTTGTAGAGAGAACCAGTTTCACAAGTTCCTGAGGAATGCTGTCTTTTTATCTAACCACCAGAAATCCTACAGTCCAGGTGAACCGGTTTCTGGATATTTGGGCTTCCTTGAGGGAATGGAGTTTCCTTTGGATCTGACAGAACAAGTCCCCCCGCGTCAGTCTGCTCAGAGGAGAGGCTTGAGTGATGGAGCCAATTCCTGCTCTGACTGTTTCTGGCTTCCTGGAGGAGGAAGCCTCAGTTTGAGTCTCTGCTTGAATTTCTTTCTAGTCTAACCTCCGTCTACACCAGCGGTTCCCAACCTTCCTGATGCTATGACCCTTTAATACATGTTGTGGCCCCCAGCCATAAAGTTATTCTCACTGCTATGTCATAACTAGTTTTGCTACTGTTTTGAATTGAGATAAAGGTTTGACAAAGGAGTTGCAGCCCACAAGTTGAGAACTGCTGCCACCCAGGAGCTGGTGGAGTTCTGTAAGAAAGCAGGCTGAGTAAGCCAGTAAATGGCACTCCTCTGTGGCCTCTGCGTTGGCTCCTGCCTCCAGGTCCCTGCCCACCCTGTTCTTGATGAACTGTTATATGGAACTGTGAGTTTGGTTGTGGTGTTTCATCATAGCAATAGAACCCTAATGAAAACATCTCTCCTTTCCCTGGCTTGTATTATTTCTTGGTTTCTTTACAGTTAGAATGAGCAATATTCCCCCCCCCCCCAGAAAATGGTACAAATATTTTATGCATCTGATTAATTCAATTAAAAAACTTCATTGGTACATTGTAAACATATCAGGTCTGGAATGTCTCAAGTTTCAGAGAGCTAAGTGGATTGTCTAAGAAAGCCAGGATGATTTTAGCTTTTGAGGTCCCCAGAATAGGGGCGTCAGGAGCCCAGTGATGACATTACAATTGGGCAGGGTTTCTGTATTTTACAAACAACGCTGCCCAGTATCAGTAAAATTTCAGACATCCAGCCTCATCCCGTCCAGCCTCGAAGACGCTCTGGAGTCGATGAAGCACATGAGAAGTTCTTGGCCTGCTCTCCCCAAAGCAAGTGCTGTGAACGTCAAGGGCTTGATGTTAATGTGGGTCATGATTATGGATTGCTAATTTTCCCCTCATTAATTGTAGTGCTGGCAGCTGTCTGCTGAATACTGCATATTAAACTGCAGGCTGCTGCCAGAGGCAAATCAGAGCAGGCAGGGTTTGAAAAGCCAGCAAATTAACCACTGCTTTTTAAGAACCTGAGCAAAGGTTAGCCCCCAGAGGGGCTTTGCAGACAGCACTTCTGCCCAACTGGTCTAGAGGAACAATTTGTAGGCAGTCTCATTTTGTGCTGGGGATTGAATTTAGGCCATCTTCTGTGCCAGGTGGAGGCTTTATGAGTATTGGCCTCAGCTCTCTCTTCACTGGTGAGCAAGACACAGTCTTATAAATGATAAACTGACCCTTAACTAAGTAGCTCGAGCAGGCTTGACCCTTCTGCCTCCTGCTCGAGAGCAGTTGGCTTTACTGGCCTGAACCACCGGGCCTCACTGTCAACTCACTTTGATGCCCTGGTGACATTTTAAGTCACACACATGAGGAACAGCATTAAAAAAAAAAAGTAAATTAAAACACCAGATGTTTGCTGGTAAAAGTAAAACCAACCCGTAGGGAATGGGAACCTAGCAATTAGCCTCTGCCCCTCCCTTCCCCCCACCAAAAAAGAAAACCACCTTGCAAACAATCCAAAGCCTACAGATCAGAAGAGACTGGTGTCAAGGCTTGGCGGCTGGAGGTTTAAAGAGGCCAACACTTCGGAAGTATCTGACGATGAAGGGCACAGAGACCAAGGTGACGCTGATCCTCACGGGTGCGAACAGCTTGTGGATGGCATAGGCCACCACGAACGTGCTGGTGCCGGCTGCCATTTTGGATTGTACCAGTGACTCTTTAAAGCCAAGCTTAATCAGGATTGCAGACATGTCTATGCCACTGGGGGTGAGGTGGGGGGAGAAAGAAAAAGAAAACATTACAGCAGGGATTAAAGGAAGAAACTGATTTGTCTAGTGTTCCCCTCCCCCTTTAAAAAAAAAAAACCTTATCATGTGAGTGTGGGCAATGCATGTATGCAGGTCAGAAGGCAACAGAGGTCAGAGGTCAGGAGTCAGTTCCTTCCACTGTGGGTTCTAGGGCTGAAACCCAGGCAGTCAGGCTTGTGCGTGAAGCACTTAACCTGCTGAGTTGTCTCACTGACCCAGGTGAACTATCTTTTAAAAATACATAACAGAATTCACCCACATATTACCTTATAGCAGGAAAACAAACAAAAACAAAAAACAAAAAAATGCTTTTGAGACAGAGTCTCACGGAGCCCAAGCCGGCTCAGATTCTATGTCACCAAGGATGGATGACTTGGAACTGTGACCCATCCTCCTGCCTCCGCCTTCTGAATGCTGGGATTACAGATGTGGCTGATGCTGGAACTCAGGGCTTTGTGAATGCAAGTGATTCTACTGACTGGGCTACATGCCCAGCATGCGTACCCACCCTCCCTCCCTCCCTCCCTCCCTCCCTCCCTCCCTCCCTCTCTCTCTCTCCCTCCTTCTCTTCCATTATTTGTAGATATACCTCATGTTGAAGCCCAAGTTTCCCTGGAACTTACGGTCTCAACTTCCCAAATCAACCACAAACAATAATGAACACCGATGAAAACTGTACCTGGAAACAACTGTGTAAAATATCCCCAAGGAGACCAGTGAGATCCCAACGTGCACCGACACACCCACAGCCCCGTATTCTTGGAAAACCTTCTTCAGCTGCTGCGATTTGCTTAGCTTTTTCTCTGTGCCGGTGTCACCACTGCTTCTTGGCTCAGTGGTTCTGTTGGGCTCCTGTTCACAGACCAAAGGGAGGTCAGGTTGGTAGCTGCCACTGGCTTTTACCCTTATCTGATCAGTGCACCCCTGCCTACCTACTCAGATGTCAATTACCTGTACTCCCACTAGCCAGGCTAGGTCAGCCCGGGAGATGTCCAGGTCATCTCCTAGCGCAGGACTTGGTGGATGGAATCTGGCCATGGATGTTGGGATGGGAACGGATTTTACTGGGATTTTACTGGGTGGGCCCAATGAAAACCTAAGGGTCTTTAGCTGGTAAAGGAGTGGGCAGGAATTGGAATCCAATGGGAGGAGGTGTTAGCAGGTGTCTGAAGACGCTGTACTGCTGGCTTACTGATATGTGGGTGTGGCCAGGGGCGGGGCGGGAGGCTGTTAGAGGCTGCAAAAGGCAGGACGGGGATTCTGCCCTGGAACCTCAGGAAGCAAACTATCTCCTGCTGTCACCTTGACCTTAGCGCAGTGAGGCAAGTTTTGGACTTCTGACCTCTAGCAAAGGAGCTAATAAATGTATTGCGCACCAGAGGAGCCACACAGGCTTGTTATCAAGGCCGGAAGTGGGATACTTGATTAGAATAACTTGAGGAGATGCCTGGGGTAGGTCTGTAAGAGTATTTCCAAGGAGGAGGGAAGGCCCACCGTGAATGTAGGAGGCACCATTCCCTGGGCAGGGTTCTGGTGCTGAATAAGAAGAAAGCGAACTGAGCACCAGTGTTGATATATCCCCGCTCCCGCCACGACATCACCAAGATGGAGTAGTCTCAAAGCCTGGGCCTCGATGAACCCTTCCTTCCCGATGTTGTTGCTTTTGCACAATATTTGGTCACAGAAATGAGAAAAGTGGCTAATGTGACAGTTCAGACCATCCAAGTCTGTGGACTGAGCATACAACTCCAGGCTCGCACTACCCCGAGAGGGGAGTAGGGCTGGAACCGGATGGAGCCCCAAAAGCCATGCGCCTTCACTGGGACAGGAAACACCGTAGGGGACTGATTCCTGGACAAAATCCTGACCAGGGTGTGGGAAGAAATTAGCCACACTGTAGCAATCTTTGTGTGTGTGTGTGTACACGTGCGCACAGGCATACGCGTCACAGTATATACGCGGAGTTAAAGGACGACTTTGTGGGGTGGATTCTCTTCCCCCACCTTTGTGTCTGCGTGTTTGCTTTTCTGCTGCTGTGATAAAACACCGTGGCCAATAGCAAGCTGTGAAAGAGTTCACTTTGGCCCACGGTTCCAGACAGACGAGTCCATCCTGGTGGGGAGGCTCGGCAACAAGCAGCAGGCTTGGTGGTGGGAGCGGGAAGCTGAGAGACCTATCAGGAAACTAGAACAAACTGGAAGTGGGGCGGGACCACAAACCCAAAGGCCACGCCCACTGAAAGGCTGCGACTCCCGAACAGTGCCACCAACAAAGACCAAGTGTTCAAATGCCTGAGCTTATGGGGACATCCTCATTCAAACCACACAGCGGGAACCAGGTCTTGAGTTCAGGGTTGCCAGGTGTGTAAGGCAAGAATTGTACTCTCAAGCCATCTTGCTGGTCACACGGGAACCCTGCGAGCCTGCAAAGCTTGGGACAGGTGACCGAGATCCCAACCACACTTGGATTAGACAAAATACACCTCCACAAGAGAATGCTTTTGTCCAATGTGACCAATGGACTTTTCGAGTCTTTAGCGCTTGATGTCGTCCCCGGTTATTGATCCTACAGCTGGGTAGATTACTCCCTGATTTTGCAGCTGAGCAACTCTGCAAGGTCGAGAAATGGGCACGCCAGGATCCTCAGGATGGGACAGGACTCCCCTACTGAGAAGAAATGGCCAAACCCACCAGCTGCACCTACACAGCTAACTGTGTTCCGCTGCAGGGGGCCGCAGGCTTTATCCTCTCTGGTTGTGGCAGCCACTTACTACAGCTCTGGGTCCTCACTCCCCTCCAGTGTCCCTCACCAGCCCCAGGTGCACAAATCCTGCTTTCCCTGGTTGCTGAGCAGTGAGCAGCTAGAGGGCTCTTCTGTTTGTACCTCTGCCTGTGAGCCCAGCTTGGATTTTTGATGATCCGGGAAAAGGCCTGAGGACTGGACCTTGTCATCGTTTCTGGAGGTGCCTGAAATCACTGAGCTTAGAGAAGAAAGCCCTGGCTCACCTGACCTCTGTGCTGGTCCAGCTAACGCAGGATGTGCTACAGGGATGGAATGTGTATGTGACTATCCCGCGTGTGGGATGGAAATGCAAACGTCACCTTCTCCGAGAGTCCCTCCACCGTAGCCTTCAAGTCCTAATCAGACAGTACCTCCCTTGGGCTTTTCAAAGCTCCCCTCTCTAATTTTAATATTTATTTTATGTGTATGGGTGTTTGCATATATATATATATATATATATATATATATATATATATATATATGCACAAGAGGGCCTCAGATCCCCTGGAACTAGAGTTACAGACAGCTGTGAGCTGTCCTGTGGGTGATGGGAAATGAACCCAGGTCCTCTGCAAGAGCAGCCAGGGCTCTAAATCATCAGACCATCTCTCCAGCTTACTCCCCTCTCTAAAACAAACAAATGTCTGGCCCTAATGTTTGCTCCTCCAGCCTGGTAGAAGCTGCTGCTTATTTTCTAGTTGGAAGTCTGGCTGCCTTTCTAGTCTCCTTTCTGGGCCAGAAGGCCTTTTGCCAAACCTGAGGGTATGAGACAAAGGGGGCATCAGCAGAGGCAGCTGTGGCTGTTCTGGGGCATGGAGACGGGGCCATAACTGAGATTGCCTGGGTCAAGTGTCAATGGGCTTTTGACTGACACTGGCCTAATAGAGGTACAGGCACCGGGAGAGACTGCAGATATCAGCTCGCTGCGCCCCATCTGCAGCCCAGGGATTACTTATCAGAAAGAAGCATGGCCCCTGTGAGCATTTCAGAAGGGGAGTGCACACCTCAAGGGGAAAGTGGCAAGGGCTGGCCAATAAAAGAAAGCAGTGGCAGCTTTTCTTCCTGTTCTCCAGAACCAGAACGTTCTGGAAAAGTCTCTCCTAAAAGGAATGACCACTCTTGCAGGACCGTGCTCTTTTCTTCCAAGTCCTAGAGGGATTTAAAGAGGCTAAAGCAAAGGATTCATGGGAGTGGCTTGCAAGCAATGGAGCATTGGTAGACACTCTTTCCCCCATGAGTATTGCTGTTTGCTACCTGCAAGGGCTCTGCACTGTCCTGAGTGTGACACTGACACACTGACCTCAGAGTGCTCAGGTGGGGATGCATCTCAGTGGTAGCGTGTCTTAGCATGAGCAAAGCTTTCATTTCCAGCACAGTAATAAACCCAGCTTGGCCGTATAAAACCTATAGTCCCCAGCCCTTTGGAGGTGGAGAGTCAGAAGTTCAAGCTTATCGAGTTGAAGGCCAGCCTGGTTGGAATACAGGGGACCTTGTTTCATAACAACCAGAGGAAGCCGTATTAGAAAAGGGGCCGTGTGGCAACACTCGCTCCCATTCATTTGGTAAGCACCGTACGTGCTGACGTTGTACCAGGCAGTGTTCCAAATGCCACGAAAAATCTTAGCTCGTGCAATCCTCACAACATCCCCATGAACAGAAGAGGGTCTACAAAGCCCAGCGAGGATGAGCACACAGTCAAAGGCAGCACAGCCCAATCCCAGACCCAGCACTTCTGTATCTTCTCTGGATCAGAGTGTTTCAGAGAAGGGGACAATGTTTGTTAACCAGACAGGCCTCAAAGGAGACTTTAGGGAGCAGAGGAGAACGAACAGTGAGATACTAGGGAGGGGACACACCGAGACAAGCAAGGAGTGAGTCAGGAGAGACGCAGCTCATTAGATAAGGGAAGCCAGCAAGCCACTTACACAGGCGCTCCCCCACCCCCACACCCCACCCCCAGGGTCACAAGTGGCCTCCACTCTCTTGGTCTATGTGACCCTGAACCATGAGCTGTGACAGGGCAGGCTTCTTGTGTGGTTTATCTTCCCCTCTCCAGCACAGCGCAGTCCTTACTGTAGGCATGAGGTCGGCATGTCACTCAGACACAGATTTACTGTCTAGAACATTTGGAGACCCCAGCTGGCCTCCCAGTGAAGGCAGCCAGGTTGGAGATGGAGTAGGATGCTGGACTGAGGCCCAGGGCAGGCCCTTCCCTCACAGCTGGCTTCTTAAGGAGTAGCTTTGTTCTAACCTTCTGTTAGGTTCTAATCCCGTTCTGATTCCATGTATCAAGCAGCGGAAGTCCAAGGTCGGCTCCTAGGCTCTGATGACAGCAATCGCTGGTGTCCGCATGATGTACCAGATGACAGCTAGTGTGCTACCTCCTATCACATTCACCCTCTGGGAAATGACTTAGCAACACCTCATTTTACAGACATAGAAAAGGGATAGCATTTGATCAAAGTGATTGACTTAGCAAGCACAGATCCTAGGAGCCTGAGAGCAGATTTATCCTTGCTGTAAACACACCCCTGTCAAGTCAGAGTGTACGGTTAGGGCTAGGGCTAGGGTTAGGGCTAGGGTTAGGCTGCCAACAAGGTGAAAGGTTGTACCAGATCGTGAAGGCAGTAAAGATCTGAGTTTGAGAGAAGAGACAGTATTGGAGTGGGCAAGGGGGAGGGGGTGAGGGGAGGGCTAGCACACGACTGGTAGTCAGGGAAGACTTTCTGGAGGAGAGGGAAGCTATGCTGTGCCCTGAAGAATCACCAGAAAGCACTGTATGTTCTGAGCATATTGCCTCGTGCTCAGGAGCAAAGCTGAGGCCAACGTCCTGTCTGCCAGGCAGGAGAGAAGGGAAGGAAGTCTATCCATGATTGTGCGAGGCACCCAAGGAAAGGGACCTTGACTACTTACTGAAAAGCTACCGGAGCAGACAGTACTCAGAACTGCCTGATTCATGACGGTGGTCTTCCAGACTCCTCCAGACCTCGACGCTTCTGATCTCAAAACTACTACTTTTTTTCAAGAGTCCTACTTGAAATGCGCTGCTGTCTGAATAGAAGCTACTTTTCACCCTTAGCATCCAGGGAAAGTAATCACAACAAAACGGGGTGGACTGACAGCTTGCCCTGAGCCTGCTCTTCCAGCTAGATAAAAAAGGGTGGAGCAAAGAGCACCGGGAAGCGTTAGATACCGGCACGCCGCCGCGAAGCGGCCTCCTGGGCCCAGTGCCCAGGCCTGAACTGAACTTCAAAGGGAACAACTCTAGGGGCCGGCTTGGAAGTTCCTATCGAGTTCAGGCTCCTGGCGATCGGCTCGGTAATGGCACTGTTCTGGCTTTCGAAATTGGGGCTCCAATTCGACTCCGTGACCTTGGGTAGCGCACCATACCACTCCCAGCCTCAGTTTCTCCGGCTGCTAATCGAAAGAGATTTTTCTCGGATTCTAGGGATCTGAGAACTCAGGGACCCCGGAGGTGACCCGTTTCGGGCAGGTGCAATGTAAAAACCGTCCATTAGGGCTGGCCCTGGCACGGCGTTCGGTTACTTGGGGATCAGGGTCCGAGTGGGTGCGGGGAGGCATACCTGGCGGCTGAGACAGTCCCCGCGGGCCGTGCGCAGCAGCCGGGTGTCCGGACCCGGGCGGGACAAGGCCAAGGCCCAGAGAGGTGGAGCACAGGAGGTAGCAGTTCCCAGGAGCCAAGGGGCGGAGGGCCGCAGCCGGGCACCCACTCTTCCCGCGGGGCCAAGCAGTGGCAGCAGCCCGGCCATGGCGCGCCGCGAGCGCAGCTTCAGTGTGCCCACTCGGGAACCAGCCCCAAAACAGCGCGGTGGGCGGGCCCGGGGCCTAGAGCTCCACCCCTCGCCAGGCCCCGCCCCAACCTCTCCAGGGTCCGCCCCCGGAGCGGAGCTGAGCGTGGGGTGGGCGGGGCTCTATAGCGGAGCTCAGGCTTTGGGCTCCACCCAACAGTTCCGCCTTCCCCAGAAGCAGCCTATCCCAGAGTGGGCGGGGCATCTGGAGACGCGCGCTCTCTCTTGTTCCCGCCCCCTCAGACCGGATTCCCTCGCTAAGTCCCGCCTCCTGAAGCGGAGTGGGCGGGGCTGGGGACCTGCCAAGTCCAGTTCTCAGGACCTCAGGCCAGCTCTTTGTGGAATCTCAGGGCTTTCCAGGATTTTGAGTTTCCGGACTGTAGAGTGTGGCTGGCGGCTGTTTGATGCGAGGGCTCATGCATTCTTTGTTTTTCCTCTCAGCAGAATGGGTGAAACCTGGAAGACTCATGCTTACATGACCGCTTTTAAGAAGAAAGAGACTATAGAAATTAATTCTCACTTGAAGAAGCCCTCTAAATGACTCTACTATATCGTGGGTGTGAACAAGAAAGCAGCCGCTGTGGAGAAAAGTTTTTGTACTTTCACAAACCAGGCTGCTCAGCAACTCCACTCCCATAGCGTCTCAAGAGAAGCAACGACTCACATTTCTATGCCGGACTAAAATCTGACAAGAACTCACACTCTCTCACCTGATGAGTCTGCACTGCCTGGGGACTTGAGCCCACAGGAAGATGTTGCTAGTGTTAGATGTGGCCCCTCTACCTTGGACCTCCAGGACCATGAGCCAAAATTAACCCTTCTGCTTTCATAACTTAAGAAAGAAGCAAAAGTAAACTGTCATCTTGACATGGTGATTGGCGCAGGTCTGTAACTCAAGCACTCAGAAGGCTCAGACAGAAGGATTAGGAGTTCAAGGCCAGCCTCCACCACAGGAAAACCTGTCTTACACACATGCACAGAAGACAGCAATATTCATAGCAGGACACTCCAGATGTCTGTCAGCTGGGGAATGGAACTTCAGTCTGTGGATCACTTGTTATCTAAGCTGAAGCTCTGAGTTCCACCCTGGGACCCAGGCAAGGTCAGGGTGTGTGGGGAAGACAGAACCACAGTCTCCACAAAGTTGTCTTCTGACCTGAACACGTGCTCCCTGCCCCCAGACAATAATAATAATAAAAACATTTTAAAAGTAACAAATGGACACCTTCATTACAGGGACAAGTCTCAGGACTGCATGCCAAATGGAAAATTCCATCCACAAATACAATATACGGGAGGATTTCATTTTCACAGAATGCCAAAACAGGCAAAATTCTGCACCCCCCAAAAAAGATCAGCAGCCATCTAGGGCTGAGAGTGGGATGTGGGTGGGACTTCAAGGAGCAGGGGGCTAACCCAGCAGTGAGGGAGTCCCCACAGTACACTCAGCAAAGTTCACTTTAATGCAGAGCAATTATTCTTCGTTGAAACAATGTTAACAGTCCTCAGGACAGACACCCTGGCTCAGGCTTTAAATGACAGTATTTGGGAAGTAGAGGCAGGAGCTCCAGTCCAGTCCCCAAGCTCAGTCTCTTCAACCCCAAAGAGTAAAATGTATACAGCTAAAATTCTCAAGATGTGCTAGCTACATTTCAGCTGGGCAAAGCTCTTAGAGTCGGAAATCACACCAGATATGCACGCGTTCTGTTTATGGTAGGTGGGTACCAGTGTCTGAAGGAGGCAGAGTGGTCCTGTGTGGACTGCTTCTGCTCAGGGTGTTCAAGGTATAAAGACTAATTCAAGGACTAGTCCTCAGTCACATTGGTCCTCCAACTCCAGCTGTGTGATCTGGAGTCAGCCTCTCTGAGTGTCACCTTTTCACTTGTACAATGAAGAGACACTAATAGACTCCCTTGCAAGACTGTTTGGAATTGTCTTGACACAGGCCGTCACCTGGTGCCTGGTGCACAAAGAGAGCAGGCATTTTATCTGGAATGTCTCAAAGGTGTCTTATCCAAGTCCCCAGGGTCAGAGAGGGCTCCTAGCACGTCATCTGGAGGGTCTCCTAGGTCCCACAATGCTCTTCTGTCTGGGTCTCCTTTATTTGTTTACCCAGGCCTGCTCTGGATTCCTAGGGACTGAGTTAGTGATTTCTGCTTTATGATTCTTGGGGAAGACAGAAACACATTTAAAATTTTCCCTTTAAATTTGACAGAGGATGAGGAGGAGTGTGGTAGAATGCTGCCAGCCTTTGACCATGTGTTCATATTAAGTGAGCAATAATGTGTGTGCACAGATGTTCTTAACCTACACACCCAAGTACAGGTGTGTCCAGAATACAGCAAGTGGAAGCGCTCTTCCTCCCTTTTGCCCTCTTTAATCCCTCACTGCTAGTAGTAACTCAGATCTGTGAGCTCCGTGTGATACAGAAGACGGCATCCTTCCATTGTTCACACATTTGGGCTCTGTGCCACGTGCAGGGCAACATCCTTCCAACATGGGCATATTCATTTGGAGGAATGGCTTCTCCTCAATAAGAGAACTTTCTGGTCCATAATTGTGCACATCAGAGCAGCTATGAGTTAGTCTTAAGTTCTCTAAGATATTTCTTCATCAGAAATACAAACAGAATGCAAATATGATCTGAGGCTAGAAAGCGTTTCAGTAACTTCGGGTACCCACATTAGGTAACGTCTCAACCGGAGTTTTTTTTGGAGGGGCTGACACAGGTCCCTGTGCTTTCAGACAGGGTCTGACCTCAAATTTATAATCATCCTTGCTTTGGTTTCCTGAACACTGAGATTATAGGCAAGTGCCACTGTGCACAATGTGACTTCATTTTGATCTGACAGCTCCTCCCCCTTGTTTCTGAACAGTATTCTCTGAAGACCTCTCTGTTCAGCCATCTGGTAGTTTGATCTCAGTTTTCCCTCTTGGCTGGGGTGAGTTTTGTTCCAGTTGGTTTGATCCAACCACACAGAGAAGGAAGGTGTGAAGTGACAGACGTTAAGGAGTCACTGCCAATAAAACCCTTGATAAATAAATGGCCAAGAAGGTATTCAGGGAGACCTTAGGCTGAGCCTGCCTGGGAGGCCATGCTTTAAATTTCATTTTGTCCACATTGTGGGTGATGTCCTCAAACCTCAGACAATACAGACATTCTGCTTTTGCAGGACGTCAGCAGATAATAGTTCAAAGTTTTATAAGAATACAAACCGCAGCCACCAACATCGCAAACTCTTGAGAGGAGAACCAAGGCTGTGCCAGACAAAAGACTCAGCCCGGCTGCTCTGTGGGCTTTCTCTCTTCCTCTCTGGGTTGGCCATTGAGTCCAGGGCTTAATAATGCTATCTACAGACCCTTATTTTGTACAGGAGGAACTGAGGCCTCGGGAGTACAGCCACTTGACCAAGATCCCTGTGCAGGAGGGCCATCTGCAAGGGATTAGAAGTCAGCCCTTCTTCCATCTTTGTCTTTGATAAGGGGCCTGGTCAGACTCCTTAGTGCTGTAAAGGGCTCTGAGTCAAGGAACCAGGTCTCAGTGCTTTAAGGACTGGCTGTCAGGGACTCCCGCAGAGTTGGGCTGAATTTCTTCCAGGAAGGGTTCTCAGCCTTTCTGTCTGGGTCCCTATCTTTCAGCAGATTGATCAGTGAAGTGCTGCCAACCACTGCTGGTACTAAGAGCATACCCAGTCCTCTGCCACCATCAGGCAGAAGTGGCCCCAGTAGCTTTTGTTTATTATGTGTTTCCCTTACAGCTGCACTGGCACCTTCTACCTGCATCCCAGAACTAGCTAGGAATTGTTGGGAGCCGCGTACGCCATTCGATAATGGCGCGGCTCCGTGTGGGAGCCGCATACGCCAATTGTCAATGGCGCAGCTCCGTCAAGAAGCCGCACTCAATGGCACGGCTCAGTCAGGGAGCCGTGAGGTAAAGT